CGCTGCATTTTCTGACTCGTGACCCGGCCTAGTAGTGCTGAGATGAATGTCAGTAATACTGACTTGAATGTCAAGAAAAGTGACTGACCTGTCACTGACTTCAGAAGTGAATTCTAAGGCAGGATGAAAAGAATTCACATAAGAATGAAAGAGTCTAAATCGTCAGGAGAACACGAGGTAGTACCAATACAATCGTCAATATAGCGGCCAAAAAACTCAGGTTTAGGACCGGTATATTGCTGAAAGATAAGGTTTTCAATGTAACCAACAAACAAATTAGCATAACTAGGGCCCATTTTGGTTCCCACAGCAACGCCATTTATCTGCTTGAAAAACTGATCACCAAAAGCAAAACAGTTAAGAGTGAGAACAAGTTCGGCTAAGCGTAATAAAGTAGAAGTACTAGGCTGAAGGCTGAAAGTTTGACTGGTTTGTGGCATACCCGCCGCCCGCCTCTGATTATCGAGGGATATCAAAGTTATTTCAWTATTTACATTTACATGCACAACTTACAAAATCCTTTTTGCTTTGCATCTTGGACAGAAATTACCATTAAAATCGATGTATATAAAAGTGCTATAACAAGAGACCAGYACAGATCCAATCTCGTAGAGGAAAACGAAGACCCGGGGTACGAGATGGCACAGACMGGTACTGTTGTTCGCGCCAAAATACCGCTGGACATGACGTCGTATGCGCATTGCATGGTGGTTATACTTCCGTTTGTCACCTCTCATGAGTTCAAAGCTCACTGTATTCTGGTGTGAGACGTAGCTAATAATATCGAATTTTCTGCTCATTTTTATTTAAATCTTTAGTAAAATGGATTGCTTTCAAAAGTTTTACGTAGGTAAGTTGCTTTCTAAGCGTTTTTTGGTATAAATTGCTATGTATAAACTTATGTTTTGGGTATATTTATGTGTCAGATGTGTGTGGGATAGGGCCACGTGAGTTTACATGGAGGCCAGAAAATAATCTATAATTGAAATARTGCACATAATTTACTCTTTCTATGGTTTTTGGTATTTCATAATAAAACTTGGGGATAATATATTCTATGTTCATCCTTTCTTGGTTAAACCTGAGCTTTAAATGATGGCTTTCACTGTTRGTCTCTCGAAGGTGGAGAAACTTCAATTAAAAAACAAATTCTGTTTTTCTCTACAACCGGTTTTCAAGCAGCGAATATTTATGAAATAATGTTATTTTGCATTCAGTAATGTATTTACAATGTATAGTTACTTTCTGTTAAATAGACAACCATTTCTTTTCCTTTCTAGTGCAAAGCATGTCTTGCAAAAAAATAGCTCACATTCCACTGTATTATACTTCTTTGTCAAAAGATTCATTGAGTTGAATGACAATAGTTTTCAAGGACACTGTTGCACTTAGAAGAAAACATGTTTTTGTCTTGTTTATTTGGTTTGTGTGCTCATTTTAGCACAGGCGGTTTCATATGTTTTTGTTTTGTTTTCACAAAGGTAAGCGAGCCGTGCATGCCTACCACACATCCCCTAAATGATAGAATAGGGAGACTGTGTGCTAAATAATGTTGGTTATGTTTTAGGTAATCTTCCTGTTAAAGCTTCAAGGGACAGCCTATCAAAATACCTAGGTTTACATGCAACACCATATCTAAGGTCCTCCAGCTGGGTAGAACTGCCCCAAGATCAGTCAGGAAAACCGATGGGGTTYGCTTATGTTAGTGTACCTCACCACATGGCAAACCACCTAATCCAACTCAACAACACTAAATTCCAGGATAGACGTATCACYATCCAACTTATACATGGTAGAGGACGACCCCAACCCTTTCGCCCATTAGAGCAATCATCTAACTATGCTATGCAGTCATGGGTGGGTCCACGCAACAGACGATATGGTGGTCAGCCTATATCCTATGAAATGGTTGATATTCCATCAGATAAGAAAGTTCCTCTAATTGATGTTGCTGTCAATTTAGCAAATAAAATGTAAGCACTGTCTTAGTAGATTTTTTTTTCATTTGATTATTAGAAGATAGATGGCAAAATCAAGATAATGTGATCAAATTGTGAATACTTGTAGCCGAGATCTCAGGGAAAACTATTCCAGGATAACCTATTATTAAAAMAAATAGATATTTAATCTCTAGCATTATAGATTGGCTATGCATCATTACTCCTTTCAAAAACACTTTCCTATTGATATTCTGTGCCCATAATATAAATATARATATTCTGTCTAACTACATATGTGTTTTTCAGTTTCTCTCTRGATTTAGACTTTGTTCTTGATCGAGCTATCAATGCTGGTGTTCAAAAGATGATACTGACTGCCAATACCCTTCAGATGTCAGACAAATCTGTTATGCTGGCCAATCARCATCCTGGTTATTTGTTTGCTAGTGTTGGCATCCATCCACACTTTGTTGAAAAGCAGTGGAATACAAAGAATATTGATATTATCAAGAGACTTGTAGCACTRCCTGAAGTGGTGGCAATTGGTGAAGTTGGCTTGGATTTCCACAGATATTATTCCAAAGAAGCTATCCAGATAGAAGCCTTTGAAAAACAGGTAATGTTATACTGATAAAAAAGTATATTGTACTGTCTTAAACTAGGCAAAAATATCCTTTGACCAATGATAAAATAATCTTTGACTTCATATTTGCTTCAGGTTCAAATTGATTATGATTTACAATATACTTTAGAAAGAAGCTTCCAATGTTCAAGCTGTCTTCTATATTACAAGATAATAGAGTTCACCATAATTGTACACAGGGAACCCAATGTTTTGGTTTCCACAATACATTTCACTTTGTTTGAAGCCCTGTATTGAAARCAAATCRTTATACTTCCAGGTGGAGCTGGCATGTGAACACCAGAAGCCTCTAYTGGCACACGAGAGAAACTCACATGAGAAGTTTATTGAAGTACTCAAGAAATTCCGAGGTCGTCTTCCACCCATTGTTGTGCACTGCTTTACAGGGACAAAGGCAGAGATGGATACTTACATTGCCATGGGCTTTTATATTGGTATCACTGGATTCATTTGCAAAGGTAGGACATCTTATTGATTAACAATTTACATTTGTACTTTTATAGCATTTTTTAT